TAAAATGACATAATTTGAGATGTTTTTACATAATCGATACGTTTCTTTGAGATGTTTCGAGGAAAAGCGCAAAAAACAACGAGAGAGGGAACAACAAATAACACTATTAGAATTGTTTGAAAATTTTCAACTTTCTGAGTAAATCGTATTTTTTTTACTATTTTTATGTAAAATGACATAATTTGAGATATCATTATATAATCGATACGTTTCTTTGAGACGTTTCGAGGAAAACGCGCAAAAAAAAACGAGAGAGGGAACAACAAATAACACTATTAGAATTGTTTGAAAATTTTCAACTTTGTTCACAAAATTCGTAATTTTTTTACTATTTTTATGTAAAATGACATAATTTGAGATGTTTTTACATAATCCATACGTTTCTTTGAGATGTTTCAAGGAAAACACGCAAAAAACAACGAGAGAGGGAACAACAAATAACACTATTAGAATTGTTTGAAAATTTTCAACTTTGTTGACAAAATTCGTATTTTTTTTCCTATTTTTATGTAAAATGATATAATTTGAGATGTTTTTACATAATCGATACGTTTCTTTGAGATCGTTTCGAGGAAAACGCGCAAAAAACTAGAGGGAACAAAATATATATATATGAATATTTTTTTTGTATTGTAAGTTTTGTATTACGAAGTGTAATGTGGCACCCGCAGAGCGTGTTGCGTTTTATTCTTTTTATTTGTGCCGATGTTGCAGAAAAAATGTGACACCTCTTGGACTGCCGAAGAAATATGTTCTTTCCGCGAAACGCGCAGCGAAATAATAAATAAAACTAGCGTTTTTCAACTTTAATTCTCATTTATTTCATTTAATTTCTAATTGTTTCAATAAAATTAAAGTTTAAGTAAAAAAATAGTTTTTCTATTTTCTAATTAATCAATTGAAAGGGTAAAGTTCTTGAGTTTTTTCTCTTTAAATTGGTGTTATAAACTTTTGATAACATTTTGAGAAATTTTTGTAAAATTCTATATATTTTATTGTAAATTGCCTTAAAAGAGAAGTTTCTGAAGTTATTTTTACTTACAATTAATTTCTTATGCTAATTTGAAAGAATTTAATTAGTAATACTTAAATTGTGCTTATATTAAATGCCCCACGTTGGTCGCCAATTTTTCTCTACTGATAGTTGATGTTGTTTTGAGGAAATTGAATGTTTTCTTTAAGACTATTAAATAACAAAATAATCTCGCACTGAAGTAGTTCTGTTTAAATCAACAATTTTATCTATGTATATTTTGGCGTTGCGGTATTATTGATGCGAGTATAAATAAGTAAATCTCTGAAGAGGATGTCGCGATTCGCGAAGAGGAAGTCAGAGAGAAAAAAAAGAAAGGAAAGATATGAGAGCGAAGCGCAATGTGCAATGCAATCAGAATATATATAAATTCATTGTCGAGATATGTGCGAGAGGCTTCCATTCCGGCTTTGCGATTCATAGGATTCGGAATGCAAGACTGCAGAAAATCGTTTATCAATGAAATGCAACCGCGAATCTTGTACGTACACACAGTGTATGCCTTTTAGTCCATCTCCTACGTTTGAAACAAACGGAAAACTTAGTCAAAAATCAAATTGAAATAAGAACAAAAAAAAATATAGGAGATGAAAAGAATCGATACTTGCTAATCGCGAATCACGTCAGTGTTTCTCGCATGGGTCACCGAAGAAAATTGATACACTATTGCGCCAGATTTTTTACACTCTCGGACTTTGTTGAGACCACAAGTTCGAATCTGCGATAGAAAACAAACAAAAAATAAATAAATAATCGAGCGGAAAAACGTCGAATTCCATCTGATATGAAACACGCGTCCAGACGTGATGTGATCTACTTACTCAATACTTTGTCTTTTTGATAAGAAATAAAGTAAAAATAAGTCATCTGTCAAATTGTTGCAATGACATATTAAAATTGTCATTGCAATTATGTCATTATGACTTTGATATTGACATAACCCATCCTCGTTGCTAGGCAACAATATCCATTGACAGCTTCACCATTTGACAGTTGTAGTAACTGACAGTTGTACTAATTGATATTCGATATTAATTAATTGAACTTAAAATTAAATCGAAACTGTATGAATGTAATTTAATGTGTTTATGTCATTATGACTTTGACATTGACATGAACTATTATGACATTATGACTTTGATATTGACATAACCCATCCTCGTTGCTAGGCAACAATATCCATTGACAGCTTCACCATTTGACAGTTGTACTAATTGATATTCGATATTAATTAATTGAACTTAAAATTAGTACGAAACTGTATGAATGTAATTTAATGTGTTTATGTCATTACGACTTTGACATTGACATGAACTATTATTGTTACAATGACGTATTAAAATTGTCATTGCAATTATATCATTATGACTTTGATATTGACATAACCCATCCTCGTTGCTAGGCAACAATATCCATTGACATCTTCACCATTTGACGGTTGTAGTAACTGACAGTTATACTAATTGATATTCGATTAATTAATTGAACTTAAAATTAGATCGAAACTGTATGAATGCAATTTAATGTGTTTATGTCAATATGACTTTGACATAAACTATTATTGATACAATGACATATTAACATTGTCATTGCAATTATGTCATTATGACTTTGATATTGACATAACCCATCCTCGTTGCTATGCAACAATACCCATTGGCGTCATCACCATTTGACGGTTGTAGTAACTGACAGTCATACTAATTGATATTCGATATTAATTAATTGCACTTAAAATTAGATCAAAACTGTATGAATGCAATATAACGTGTTTATGTCATTATGATTTTGACATGAACTATTATTGTTACAATGACATATTAAAATTGTCATTGCTATTATGTCATTATGACTTTGATATTGAAATAACCCTTCCTCGTTGCTAAGCAACAATACCCATTGGCATCTTCACCATTTGACGGTTGTAGTAACTGACAGTTATATTAATTGATATTCGATATTAATTAATTGAAATTAAAATTAGTACGAAACTGTATGAATGTAATTTAATGTGTTTATGTCATTACGACTTTGACATTGACATGAACTATTATTGTTACAATGACGTATTAAAATTGTCATTGCAATTATATCATTATGACTTTGATATTGACATAACCCATCCTCGTTGTTAGGCAACAATATCCATTGACATCTTCACCAATTGACGGTTGTAGTAACTGACAGTTATAGTAATTGATATTCGATTAATTGATGTGTTTATGTCATTATGATTTTGACATTGACATGAACTATTATTGTTGCTAGGCAACAATATCCAATGACGTTTCAGCATTTGACAGTTGAATTTTAATCAATTGAACCTAAAACTAGATCGAAACTGTTTGAATGCGTGTATTTCCACACATGACACAAATAATAATTGAATTGATAAACAATTGACGTTTTGCAATACGGTCAATGAATGAACGATTGTCTTCGCAATTCGTTTATCGGAAAAATTTCCTCATCTCCGACAAACGAACACATGAATCGAATCGTGAAAAATCCAAAAAAAAAACGTGACGTCTTTATCACGGATTTTCGACGTTACCCTTATCTGTGCAGACGTAACGAAACTTTCAATTAAGCTGAATTATTTAATCAGTCAGTGTTACGTAAACCGAATTGCTGCCTCCATCAATTTTACAATTAAAATTTAATAATTGCAAAAAAAATCAATTTGTAATTGCGAGGATTAGATTAAATTAATGTACTTAAAAAGAAAAAAACGTTATTAAAGATAATAATTGGATTTTAGGGATAATGTTGATTGAGGCTTAAGATTTGTCTACAATTAAGTAGTTAATAACAAACTTCAATCATTATTTAATACAGTTTTCACAGTTACAATTAAAAGTTTTTAAATCTGTACATTAATACTATAGTTTTCAGGAAACTTATTGGAATATGTGAAAGGAAATTTTGATGAAAAGTTATGTGATTTGAATTTTCTTGAAGAACATTTGTAATATGCATAAGATTTGATAATTCTGTTGTGTAGAGGGGAAGGAAACATTAGGAATTGTGTGAGTTTGACGCTTTTTTATGCGAAAGTTTCTTTTTTTTTCTCTCGAGTCATTCGTGTTTATGATTTTCAGTGTTATATCGTCCTGTTGTTGTTTGTTTGATTTTGTTGGGTCTTTGGTTTTCTGAAAGTCTTCTGTGTGTGTGAGTGTGTGTGTGCGTCTCGGATGAGATGAGGTGAGGTGAAGTGGTGGTAGTAGGTAGGAGAAGGTGGTTTTGTATCAGTAGGTCGGCCGTTGATGATGACTGGTCGTCGAGGTATAAACAAATTTCCGGAGGAGCGCAAGGTGGGCCTATCCCGTGTAGTCGGGGGCGGGATCAGGGCGGCGGCGACGAAGCAACGGCGCAAAGCACACGCGATGAGAGACGGGAAGAGCGAGAGAGAGAGAGAGGCAGGTCGAGGAGCGGTGCCGTCCCCGAAAACTCATTCCGCCGCCGTCGGGAATAGAGGCAGCACCGACACACACACCTCACTTCCACGCACTTACGTCTATGTCTGCTGCATACGTACACATATATATATATAGAAGAGAGATTTAGAGGTGGTGGTTAGAATATAACGCGTGTTCGTTCCGAACGGAGACACTCACTTGTCCTGCCGTCGAGACACGCGAAAAAACGAAGAGGATTTTCAGTGGATTTTATTTACTTTTGTACTTGGAGGAGAGAGTGGTGACTTTGTGTGTGAGATCGTCGTCGTCGTCGTCAAAATGCAGACATTGGGGGCGCGCGACTCCAGGATGGAGAACTGCAACAATCAGGACGATCATTTGGCTGAGGAGTACGTGCAGGAGTTCGTGTTGGATCACCTGGAGGACGTGACCGTGAAGCGCGAGGAGAAACACAGGGTGGCCGTGGCGAACGCAGCGGCGGAAGCCGAATGGTTGGCATCGCAGGAGGACTCTTCGGATCCGAGGAGTATGTGCAGACCGTGGCCGGACGAACGAAGATTGCCGCCTCTGTCGCCGCCGCCGGACACCATCTACAGCGGCAGTCAGCAACCGGTGCTCGTCAACATGACCCTGGTTAACGGTGATCCCGGCACGCCGCCGGACACGCCGCCCAGCCAATCACCAGGTCCGTGCGTCGGCCGCCCAGTCGGCGGACCGCTCATGGAGGAGATGTGGTTCCCGCAGATGCGTGACCCACAACCCTTAGATCTTCGCCCTCTTCACTGCATGGGAGGCGAACCGGACTGGGAGAGACGCGAGTACATACCCTCCGGCATGTTCATGGACAACCCCAATCACCACATGCTCCATCAGAGACCGCAATCGGTGTGCTCGGGGGCGAGCGCCCTTTCGCCCCGCATGAACCACGGCACCTCCGGCTACTCCACCTGCAGCGAAGACATCAGTTTGAACGACGAGATGCTGATGACGCTTTCCGTGCGCGAGCTCAACAAACGTCTGCACGGCTGCCCGCGCGAAGAAGTCGTCCGTCTGAAGCAGAAGCGTCGCACCCTGAAGAACCGCGGCTACGCCCAGAACTGTCGCTCGAAGAGGCTGCAGCAGCGCCAGGACCTGGAGACGACGAACCGAAGTCTGCAGAACGAGCTGCATCGCATCAAGATGGAGTTGGCGCGCGTCTCCCAAGAACGGGACCTCCTCAAGCAACGTCTCCAGCTGGGCAGAGGACATCCACCGCCGCCTCCGACATCCTCTCAGCTGCACAGCCTCAACTCTGACGGTCAGAGCTCCCCCGAGTTCTACCTATGACATCCATTCCCTGGTCGAAGGATCTAGTGCTTCGAGTCCAGGACTTCTCCATCATCATCATCATCATCCCACACCATCAATCGTGATGCGAAAAAGACACTTTTTTCCAACTCCGCTTCCATCCTGTGCGTCGCCGCCTCCACAAAACTCAAGCGCGCACACGACGGAACCGGAGACCAGAACAATTCCTTCTAGCAACTAAGAGAGAGACTGTTATCGATTTTTCTGTTAAGTTATTCAAATATATATTGAAAAAAATTAAGAAAACAACCAAAAAAAAAATAATATTATTATAATAATAATAACAAAAAAAAAATAATAATTAATACTATTAAGAAGAAAACTTATGTATAGAGAGAGACTTTAATACTTTTTTAAGCTAATCTTAATAAAACGAAAAATTATATATATTAAAAAAAAAAACGATATTTTCATCATCATCAAAAAAAATGTTTCTAGTTACCCAAGATGAAAGACAAAAAAGAAAAGAACAAGCATATCCTCGACTCCTTGATTATTATTATCATATAATAATAATCATCTTTCCCATTTAAAAAAAATGAATATATTTTTACGTTCAAGTACAAAATATCTAATGTAATTTTGGTTTTGTTCAATGTGTTTTTTTTTTGTTTAAACATCTTATGTTCAGATTCCTTCGGATTCATTCATTGTTCTTCCGCATCTCGAGGAGTCTGTGTTTTCCTTTGAATAAACGAATAATTTTGAAAAAAAAAAAAGTACTTTGATTTCACCGTATCTCCACTACGAGTTTAAACACTTTCCACGATAACAAAAAAAAACACAACTTTTCGGTAAGTTTTAAGTAAAGTTTTATATTCCAATCGATATATTAATTGAAATAAGTTTGAATCAGTACAAAATAGTTAACTTTCTATATAAGTTTCAATTAATTACTCTTATTTATTTTCATTATATCAAACTAATTTTGAAATAAATACATGAATTACAATTTCTTCTCTTTGATTCAATTTAATTAGAAAATGTAAAGTTAGATGAAATTGAAAAATATTAAAATTTTATATTTGAACTTAAAGAAATACAGAATTTCATTTCTTTGCACATTGTAAATATTGTATAATATAAAAAACAATTGCTGCGTCTATATAATAAATGAATATCGTCATGGCTTGCTGTAAAATTCTTGCTTAATTATAATATGAATTATAGCTTTAATTGTTAAATATTTGTTCGTTACTAAAAGGAGATGTAAATAAATTTGATGTTGGGATCAATAAAATTATACGATTTTATTTTGTTGTATTTGAATGCATCAGTAAAGCCCTGACTTTTCTTTAGTCTTGAAGGAGTTCAGGTGGCGGCGGCGGCGGCGTCGCAGCAGTTTAATTGCTCGCACGGCCTGGGCGTCGCGACGGCGCATCGTTGCCACCAATGGCAGAAATAAAGCCACGTTATTGGACATCGCGCGAGATGACCCCACCGCTCGCCCTACCCCGCTTTACGTCATATGCTCGTTATTAAAGATACTCGAAAAACTGACTCTGTGCACGAGAAAGAAAGAGAGAAAGATACACCGGTTTTCGCCTGCTTCAGACAAAGAAACTGTGAGTGCGACAAGGACGAGTAAGTCAGCTATTATATAGTCAATTAATTTCTTTTGTTTTAATTTAAGTAAATTAGATAAGAAAATTTAAACACGGATTGGCAAAAACCGTTGAAGAAACTCGTGAGAACATTTAAAAAAACAAACAGACAAAACAAAACACACAAACAATTTGATTTCAATAGAGGAAATTATACAGATTCGAAGAAAATATTTATCAAATAGGCCGTGTTTATTTACAAAGCGGTATAAAATTCAAATTCTGTCTACTTTTTGACTGTTTTTTTTTCATTTCTAATTATAATTATTGTTTAACCAACAAATGTGTATTTGTTTTTTTTAATTTTCTATACTTTTTGAAAAGCCATAACATACTTTTATTATTTTATATGATTATTTAGTTTTACTGTCTGCAAACTGAATAATTGTAATAATTTTAAGTGAACTAATTTTTAAATATTCAAAATATTCGATTTTGTACATTCGTTAAAACTGAAATTTTCTTTTGTAAATTAATATTTCAAATTCAAATTTTATCAAATTTATGTAGTAAATTTTCAGACTTAATTAAATTTACTATAAATTACAGGTGATAATCTTAAATTTGTAAATTTTATGATAATTTTATGTTGGTAAATTTACAAACAAAAATAAATTTTCATCTTTTAAAATCTACATGAAATTGAAAGTAAATTTTGCATAATTATATAAAGATTTGAAATCTAAACTAAAATTAGCAAAAACCTAGCACAAGTTTTAAATGAAAACGTAATGAAAAGTAAGTTCAAATTAGTTATAATTTTTTCATGTTCCAACTTCTACATTAAGTTGAGAGTTTGTATTGTATAATGATTTGAAATATAAACTAAATTTAGCAAGAATAGCAAGAATTTATAAAAAAAAGTATGTAAAGAAAACTTTTGACTCTCAAACGCAATAGAATTTCTTGGTACTAGTCCTAGATTTGAAGTGCATTAAAAGCTCGTAAAAAGACGTACAGTATTTATTTTGGATGCGGCTTGTGCGTGTATTTATTTGTGTTTGTGTTATATAATCACGATCGATCCGGATGATCCGCGATCAAGGTCGGCCCCCCAAGTCTGTGCGTGTCGTGCGTTCTTTTGTTTTTCGTCTTTCTTCTTTCTTGTTTCCTTTTCGACGATGATGAAACCGGAAGGAGAATTTGCAAACAAATCGGAGCTTCCTCAATGGGAACCACACGTTCTTCAGGGCCACAATTCAAAATGTACTTGAAGAACGTTTTATTAAACAATGAAAAGACCAATGGAAAATTTTTCATTCAATGAGAATGGAAAAGTACAAGAATAAAAGTGTTTTTTTTAAACAAATTCAAATGATTTGAAGAAATTGATAATTAAGTCAATATAAAAAGTTCTAGCAAAAGTTTACAAATGAAATGGGAAAGAAATTATTCTAAAAAAACGAATTCAAATTTCAAGTATGAAAGAAAAAGAAAAAATAACTTGAAGAAGGGAAAATTTTCATTGAATGAGAGTAGACAAATACAAAAATGATTGTCTAAAGAAAAATGCGTACAATTTCACCAAATTCAAATGATTTGAAGAGAAAAAATTTGATAATAAAAGTTCTAGGAAAAGTTTATAAATAATAATACAAAGATATGGAAAGCAAATCTTTCTAGAAAACTAATTTTACTGTGTAAATAGTAATGATTTTTCATGATGCTGCAGAAGTCAATGGAAATACAAGAAAAGTTAACATGAATAACGGAAAATTTTCATTGAATGAGAGTAGAAAAATACAAGAATGATAGTGTCTTTTTTAAACAAATTCAAATGATTCGAAGAAATTGATAATTAAGTTAATATAAAAAATTTACAAATGAAATAGAAAAGAAATCATTCTAAAAAACTAATTTTAAGTTGATTTTTAAAGATGCTGCAGAAATTAATGGAAATACAAGAAAAATTAACTTGAAGAATAAAAAAATTTCATCGAATGAGAGTAGACAAATATAAGAATGATAGTGTAAAGAAAAAATGCGTACAATTTCACCAAATTCAAATGATTTCATGAGAAAACAATGTGTAATAAAAGTTCTAAGAAAAGTGTACAAATAATAATACAAAGAAATAGAAAGAAAATCTTTCTAGAAAACTAATTTTACTGTGTAAATAGTAATGATTTTTCATGATGCTGCAGAAACTAATGAAATACAATATAGAAACTAAATTTTATAGCTTTTTATACTTATAATTATATATAAATAAAATTCCAGAAGTATAAAAGCAACACAAAAAAACATCATATAAATATTGATTTTTCTTCTTCTATGAATTATACGTATATATATAATAACCAATTCACTTGATATCCTTTTAGCAAACGCAAATAAACATTTCATCCATTTGCATTCATAATAACAATACAAAAAACTATATATATATATATGTATAATTTTAGAGGTAAAACAAATAGAAATTTGATGGACGCAAATTGAAAAATAAGCAATTCGTGGAAATTCGTGTTTGCACTGCAAATAATTTACGAATCGATCAGGTGTTTTTAGGCGGGGAAAATTAACGGAAAGCCGCCCCGATTTTCAATTAATTAACGATAGGAATTATCGTCTATTTGAATTTGCATTTGTAATTAATTATTTGTCGGCATTCTTTTCTACTCGATTATTTGTTTGTTTGTTTTACGATTTGATTACCAGTTTTCGAGGATGTAAGAATGAATTAAAAAATTTTAGTAAATAAATAAATAATTGTACTTTGCTTGCAATATTTTCATTCATAAATTGCAATTCTTTATGTGTTTTTATTATTATTATAAGGAACGCAGGAAGTGATATGAAAAAAATCGTATAAATATTTATTTCTGCTTGTATATTAATGGGTCACAAAAGATTCTACAGAAAAAGTTTCTTATTTTATTTATTTGTTTTATTCGATTATGAAACATTGCTGAGATCAAAAAAAAGCGAAAGATTTATTTGCTTTTAACGGAAAGTCGAAAGTTGAATTAAGAACTGAAATATTTCAGGATTAAATTGGAAGGTTCATTATATAATAAATTTCAATAAAAACTGACATACCCTCAATAGAAAATAAATGGCGGCAATATGAAATAGTAACACTTCTTTTATGACACATTTTTTAAATATTTGAATAAAATTTTAAAAATGTAAAGATTTTTTTCATTTTGAAAGGAAAGTAGAAAGTTGAATTAAAATCTGAAATATTACAGGATTAAATTTGAATGTTGATGATATAATAATATGAATTAGAAACTGACATAACCTTAATAGAAAACAAGTAACGGTAATATGAAATAGTAACACTTCTTTTATGACATCTTTTTCAAATATTTGAATAAAATTTTGAAAATGTAAAGATTTATTCGTTTTTAATGGAAGTAGAAAGTTGAATTAAGAACTGACATATTGCAGGATTAAATTTGAAGGTTCATTATATAATAATCTGAAATAGAAACTGACTTAACCTCATTAAAAAACAAATGATGGTAATTTGAAATAGTAACACTTCTTTTATGACACTTTTTTAAAATTTGTATAAACTTTTAAAAATGTTTTGTTAAATAATCTATTTTTAACTATTTATACAAAATATTATCATTTTAATACTTTATATTTACTAAAAATATTAAATTTCTTCTATATCTGAATTTTGTATACAA